TCGTGAGCTCTGTTCCGGTAACTGTCTTCGGCTGCTATAAAACTGACAAGAGCCCGGCCCAAGCAACCACGGGCGTAACTGAACTTCTGGTCATCTGGCAGTGATGCGATCCCCGCATGAGTCTTTGGGTCCCACGACATCAATGGAACCCTTGCCGCTTTAACTGCTTCATCGGGGAACCGCTGGTTGTTCGTAATTTTTGGCTCCACGACCGTTTGAAACATCGGAAACCAGGGGTCAAACACACCTTCTGGCAGCGTCAACTCCGCCGCCTTCTTCTCATTTATCTTGAGGAAGGAATCCCTCAAAAAAATTTCGGGTTCCTCTTCCTTGTCCTTGCCAGCGCCGGTGTCTTGCTTCTTCTTCATCCTCTCCGCCACATGAGATACACTGGACCTTTTGCGACGATGAACTACTGGCTCGTCGGGCACCTCCTGTGCTTCTTGAAAAATCTCCGCCTCAACCATGGACTCACCGACTGGCGTCATTATTTGCCGCAGTGGTTCCACTTCCAGTGGCGGAACGTCGGCAACTGCTGGCTCGTTCACGATCGCCGGCGTCGGTTCTGCTCTAGTTGATGACGGTTCACCAACACTAATCTGAGATCGGTTAGGATTTTTCTTCCATGATTTGAGAAGATTCATGCGCCCGGCCATCTCGGTTGATCGGAGATTCTTGTTTTTTCCGACTTTGTTTTTTAAATCCCAGTTCGGATTGCGTCTCCGATGCTCCTCAGCTTCTGTGGGATCTCCGAAACCGAAGTATCCCAGCAACGGGTAATAGACTGTTACAGTAAAGTTTAAAGTTAGGACGATATCGTTATCACGAGTAATGATATGAGATGAGCGAAGTAAGTGGAGAAGATTACCTGGTAAAAATGAAGAATTAAGTACTCCAGGAGACAATCCAGCCAACTCTAAGCGAGAATCCTTTACAAGTCGTTGATATCGACGTTTGTTGGCGGACACTTCGAACAATTTGTCTACTCGATCGTACAGTAGACCTTCAAACTTCGGCTCTTTCTTACCGGTTGGTTTTGCTACAAGGTCACAAAAGTCCACCTGTTAGCGACAACAAAAAACAAAATATTAATAACCGAAGTGAAGAAAATGGAAACAACTTACAATAACCAGATTTAGTGGCCATTGGGATGCTTATCCCGTCGGCAAGAAGATCATTAGCGAAGTCGGGGCACCGCCAGTCTCCCCCGACCCATAACCACTCCTCTTGGAACCCATGTAGAGTATCGGGGACCTCCATTATTAGCTCGCCAACTTTAACCCTCGGCTGCGGCTTACCGACAATCGAAGAGGTGAGAAGCGGGTCCGACACTTGTCTATCTGGGCTCTTCCAGAATGTGAACATGCTTCTCATGTCCTTTGCCGACGGCAGATTCCATTTTTTCTCGGCAAAAAGCACTAGCAGCCCAATGACTCGTTTCAGGGAATTTGGAGCGATTTGACATATCGGAAACTCCCATTCCCGTAAGTATTCGGTGATTATGCGTGGCAAAGGGAATCGTAAACCCGATCTTAAGCTCTCAGCAAACACACCGACACAGTTGGGTGGGGGGCAAGTGATCCTCTCACCGGGATATGGAGCAAACAGGTGTACCGACGAGGGGACTCGAATTTCGCCCCGTAGCATAATGATGTCGGCGTCCGTAAGAATACTCGGTTCTCCGTGAGATGTTATTTCTGGGTTTGGCCATCTCCTGATAGGTCGTCTCCAAAATCTTGGGTCGTCGACGGCGTTTTCCTCTACAGCTTTATCCCCTTCACTATCATTCAGTCGGATCTTCAACCGTTCAACGAACACCGGATCCCACCGGTTGTACTCAGATAATAATTCTAACTCCCCAGAGTGAACCATGTTGATCATCATCACGTCCAACTCGTCGTCACCCGAAGACGACTAGGATACACTCTTGATATCGACAAAAGAAAAGGAAAAGTCGGTGTAAATAAATGAAATATAATGGAGAATTCTTACCACAAGAAGTCGTCCGAGACTTTGAATTGCTTTGAGTACCGATGTCAGGTGATTAATTTGCAAAGGAAGCGGAAAATATGAGCGCAAAAAGAAGATGAAAGTAAAGTAGATCTCAAAAGAAGAATCCCTATTTATATCAAGCCCTAGATCGAAGCGACCGTTGAGAACCGATGGAAATAGGGGCGCGTGAACTGCACGTTCTAGATCTGCGAGTCGACACAACCCTTGGAAATCGTGCCTCTTTATAACAGCTACGTGGCCTATTTTCAGTGACCGTTATCCCTACAAATAAAACGGTGCAATTAATTTCAATAAAGTACGCCGTTTCAGCTTTCAAATGTTATTTTCACAAGTGCGAAGACGTCGGGTGCAGATGACAGAACCGATATATCGCATCAATACAGGAATTTTGTCAAGATCTGTTGCAATTTCAGC